CAGAAAATGCAGTTGAATCCTTAAAACCCTTTTTTCTGACAGTTCTGTTTCACCCCACAGTGCACTGACATCTACGGTTGAAATCCTGAGGCAGAAGTATGGCTTGGTACCAGAATCATCTTAAGACTTCAGACTCCGAGGAGGCTCTGCAGAGCTGGTAAAGCTGGGCACCGTGTGCCTGCACATTCAGGAAATGGGCGTTCATGGCCTTGTTTAATAAGGTCGATGGGTTATTCAAGGTTAATAAACAAAAGTTTAAAAAAAAAAAAAGGTAAAAACCAGATTGATAGGTATCTGTTAGTATCACATCTGCTATAGTCTGAGAAACCAACCCAAATATGTATGCTGACCTCTTTGTGCTGCTGTACCACTCCTGTCTGCTTTATTAACATGATTAGGCCTTTGAAATACAGTAGTTTGAACGTTAGGCTGTTGGCAGGATGGGATGATGAAGTGTCTGATCCACCCTCCCCTTAACACTTATTCCGTGTGTTTGTTTATTGTATCTGCACTGAAAGAAAAGCAAAGATGGAAAAGAGGTTTTTCGAGCTTTCATGATGTTATAGCTATGGTGTCCTCTGGATGTTTTTCTCTGTTCTAAATGTAATCAAAACCTACTACGGAGATGAAACTGTAAGTGCTTTTCAAAAATTAACAGTATTCAAATGGTCTCTATCTAGATAAGAGCTGCTCGGAAAGACCTGACTTCCTCCTAATACAAAGAATGAAAACAAGCTCTTAGCGTGCTGATCTTCATTTTGTAAATGTGGACTTCCCTCTCTTGATTTTGTTCTGAAAACAGTGCTAAGCTGAAGTAAACAGGGAGTGGATTAAAGTTTCCTCTGGTATTTATTCTTCATTGAAAAGTAAAGTTTATGGACCTGCTATTAATTTAAAAACTGGTATGCAACTTGCATGGTTTTGTTATAAATACTTATTTTTAGGCATTGTTGTCCATCACTTTTGATGGACTTAGGTGCTTAGCAAGAACGTGTATGGCGTCATCATGCATAGAACTTTGTTTCACATCCAGAGCTGCCACTTCTCATTTTATTGATATAGACTATAGACAAGTATAAATTAATTCTATGGCTAATTTAGAAGGGTCCAAGCATGGCTAAAATCATAAAAAAGGGAAAGCTACTGGGAGCTGTACCTCTTTCAAAGCACAAATTAATGGTGTTTTCAGTTGCATTTTCATTGCAAGTATTTTTTCTCCTTGGTTCTAAAAGGGATAAAGCAACTTCATATCTAAATTTTCAAAACATGTAACACTAAACAATCAGTTAAGAGCTTTTAGTATAGATCATTGCATTTCCTTGGTTTCCTGCACATACAGTAGTAGTAGTAAATAGTCTCTAGTGTTCCAGCTCTAATTATCTTTAGTTATGTGGATACAGTGGACCACAGTGACAACGCCCACCGCAGAACTCCTTGGTATAGGAGAGGTTGGATAAAGTAGAGGGTATGTAACGGCATGGCTTAGTTTCACCTACAATAGACAATTTGGAGGATTATTTACTCCTCTTTACAGTAAGCTGATAGAGAAATGCTCTGACAGACTCGCTAGCAGAGGGGTATGTGATCACTGCAGGCAGCGGGCCAAGGGCCTACGGTGAAATGAATGCTGGAACCCAGCTAACCACGTTGAACATCACAGAACATACACATGGTAGGAAAAACCAGATCTTTGGCCTCCAAGCCAGCACCCCTGGAGAGAATTCCAGAGGAGCTCTGAAAGGGTCATCTCTACTAAATCTGCAGAAAATTAATTTGACTGCTGCTTGTGGATTTCCTGCTCCCTGTAACACTTCCTCCTGTGAGTCCATAGCTGGGCCTTACGCAGTCCTTGGGATATTTGCAGGTGGCTGCTCGCGTTCAGTGGCCTGTTTAGGCTGAAGGTTCTGTGGCTGCGTCTTCTCGAGTGCTTTTTTCTGAAGCTCTTCTCTGCTGCAGCTTTGTCAGCGGGACATTTTTCCGAGTAAGGCAAATCCTGAAGTCACATCAATCACTGCTCTTTCTCTTTGCTGAAATGTTCTGCCCAGCTGCGAGTCAGCTCCAGGTACATGCTCGGCTGTTGAGGAAGGTAGTCCAGATAAAGGTGTGTCAGCATCTTCTTGGGTACGGCTTTCTCGATCTGGGTGCCTTCGTGCCATTCGTTAAAGGATGTGATGGAGACGATCTCTGGCCTGACCAGGGCAGCCTGCAGAGCTGTTTCATAGTACTTCCCGTTGACTCTGTTCTGAGTGTTGTGGTTGTTCAGGGGCGAATGCTGGTGTCAGTGTAGCCTGGGCCAACGCTGGGGACAAACATCAGGTTATTGGAGTCGCAGAAAGTTTTGATTGCTTTCCAGTTCTGGTGGGATAAGCCAAAAGAGAAACGTTGGACGCACAGTATCTGTACATGCCATCGTACCCTGCGGAGAGGATATCGTGCTTGTGTCCCTCCTCCACCAGCAGCGTTATGAACAGTGTTGTAAGCGGTGTTGTGGAGAGAGCGGGAGCCTGATGGCGTGAGAAGGTTGGCCCAGGACTCAGCTGGTGTCAAGTAGGAATCATAGATATAAAACAGCGGGAGAATCTTGCCGGTGCTGGTCTTGTACGTATAAAAAGCTGCGTGTGATCCGTATCTAGAGGAGAGCACAAAGCTTTTTCAGAGGCTGGGGTGATAAGCCCTCAGCAGGCATTTCCATTATAAGGCACGCATGGTGTGGGACTTGGTTTGTCGTAGGGGCCTTCTTCCCCAGAACCTTTATCTCCATCTTCATGGGAGTGCCTGTGCCTGCTCCTTTCCTTTTTGAAAGAAGGGGTAGAGGTGTGATAAGCTTAGAAATTTGAGCAGAAGAAAGCAATTTTGGGTTCTGAAGGCAAGGTATTGAAGTGCCGGAGAAAGCGGGATTTGATTATGACCCCTGCCCAGTATTGCCCCGTTGGCTCGCTCTAGGCTGCTCCCTCCCCTGTGCACTGTTTTTGGAGACTATTCTGATGCATTTAATTCAAAGTTCTGCACACTGTTTGTGCTTAAAGCAACATGACACAGCTGGATTTAGCCTACATGAAAAACTTACTTGTCCATGATGTATTTGATATTCTCAGGCACAGTGTGGTCATCGTGCCCTTTGTATGGCTGGATATGAAAGGCAACCTTCAAAAGAGACCACGGAGATGGTTATTTTCATCGCACTGGTATTGCTTTCTCTGCACCCTGACCTCCCAGAAGACTCTTGGTCCGCTGTAAAGGACCTTCTGTCACCCACCATGGGCAGACTGGGAGGACCCCTTCACAACACATGCAGAATACAGCTGTCTACTCGGTGAAGTCAGGGCTTTCACTAGTTTTCCCTAACGCTAGTAAAAAGTAAACTGAAAATCCCAATTATTAAGAAGAGGAAAAGCCCCGTACTTAGCTATGAAAAATTGTTCCCATTGTCTTAAATGCAAGTACTCGTTTCTTTTAACATAGTCACTGAAGCAGAGGGGCAGGGCCTCTGCCCGAGCACAGCACCGGCCTCGTGCTGGAGTCAAGCGGTGAGTTTAACGGCCTCCAACTGCAGACAAGAGCCTTACCTTTATGGCGTATCTGTGCGCAGCGTCCAGTATGGAAGGCACGAGGCTGTCCGACGGCTCCCTGTTGTTGCCTGCTAGGCCGGGCGGGTACCAGGACAGGACCAGCACTCCTACAGCGGCATGTAACAGGCAGGTCTCGGTCAGATGTGTTTTGTTCCTAAACTTCTGTGCACCAGCAGTGCAGTCTCTCGTCATTCCAACGCTTCAGAAGACCTGCGGTGTTTAAGCCGTGGTTGCCAGACCCTGTAATCGACGCTCCCAGCCCAGGCGCCGAGGTAGCTGTGGGGCCCTCGGCTGTGAGCAGCGCTCTGCGGGGTGGCGGGGCGCGGCGC